GTTCTGATTTTTTGGTTTGCACTGTGTGTAAATAAACAATGCGCAATGAAGGTATTTGTCAATAAAACCCTAACTGGGGCATAAATAGACAGTACAAGGACTGGTTAGCTGGTTAGAACCACTTTAAGTCTGACAATGGAAAGGCCCGTTTTCTCACAATGTGTATACTCAGACATAACTTCAAACCTGAAAATAATTATGTATGAATTGTGTTGGCATCCAATATGACTATATTTATATAGCAGATGATAAAATGTTCTAGAAGAAAATATTTATATACATCATATAAAATTAATGTCAAACTAAATCACTTAGAACTTTATCAACATTTTTTTTTCAAGCATCATTTTATAAGAATATCCAAATGATACATTTCTATTGTTTCTATTTTTGAAACAAAATAATTAAAAAATGGAGGTAATAATTGTTTCAGTCATGTCAGCGTTGCCTTTGCCATCCACAAAGTTTAACCTTGATCATAACTTTTGAAGTTCTAGGTATATTGTCTTCATACTTGGCCACAACAACCCTTGGGACAAAACAAGTAAACCAGACTAACCTTGACATTCATTCATGAAGGACCTTGACCTTCAAGGTTAAATGTCTTAAATTTTGCTTGTGGCTATAGCTTTGTTATTTTTGAATGGATTATCTTCAAACTTGAACATAATAATCTTTTAGGGTGGACCTTCAAGTTCACATCTTCAGACAGACCTTGACCTCCACTTATAAATGACCATGACCTTGAAGGTCAAATTAATGAAATTTTCATTTTTTTGCTGTAAGTGACTTAATTATAATAACTTTGTTATTAATATCATATTATAACACAAAATTCTTTAGGATATGACCCTCATGTCATTGATTCATTAATGACCTTGACCTTAAAGGTTGAATTTTTTAATCTTTACTGATTTTTGTTATCATGGACTGTTTAAACTTAGTAAATCAACTTAGATTATCTTCACATTTCGGCGAAACAACCTTTTGGACAAGATCCTTCTTAAAAGTTGAACTGACCTTGACCTTAAAATGATATGACAGTCAAGGTCAAATTATTAAATTTTGGTTAAATTGTCATAATTTTCTTATGCACATATTTGATTTATATCCTACAAAACAAACATATTGAATAATTCAGATGTGATTTATTGAAATTTGCTTATTTTATCCTTTAACTATGAAAAATGGACCATGTGCACAGTTTAAGATGTAAAATTTAAGTCTTTGATATCAGCTGACCTAGCTTTTGGCCTAGTGACCTAATTTCTATTCCTTTAATGTACAGCTTTGAAATTTGGACCATGTTTACAGTTTTAGATGTAAAATTGAACTACGATATCAGCTGACCTAGATTTTGAACTAGTGGCCTTCTCTCTTTCTTTGATGTACAGCTATGAAATTAATTTAGACCATGTTCACAGTTTTAGACTTTGTTATAAGCTGATTTAGATTTTGACCTTGTAATCGACCTACTTTCTTGGTCTTTGATGTACAGCTATGAAATTTGGCCCACATGCACAGTTTTAGGTCTTAGAAAATTGATCTTTGATAATAGCCGATTTAGATTTTGACCTAGTGACCTACTTTCTTGTCCTATGATGTACAGCTACAATGTATGAAATTTGGACCATGTGCACAGTTCAAGATGTTAAATTGAACTTCGATATCAGCTGACCTAGATTTTGACCTAGTGGCCTACTTTCTTGTCCTTTGATGTGCAGCTATGAATATGGACCATCAGCACAGTTTCAGATGTGACATTGAACTTTGTTATCAGATTATCTAGATTTGGACCTAGTGACATACTTTACTTTTTTTTCTATAATTCTCTTTTTTAAGATTTACTCATTTATTTGTTTGCTTTAGGAAAAAAAAGTTGAGCGTTGCCTCCTCCCGGGGATGGCTCTTGTCATATTTGAAATGTCCCCGTTGTAGACCCATCCACTTTAATGCTGTGGATATGACTAGCTGCTGTATATTTCAAGTATAAGAGGTTTCAATGTCAAAGTAATAAAAACCGGTTATGATACAACAGGATATAATGTATCTTGTAAGATTACACTGACATCAATGAATCTGAAAGAAAACTGCTTTAAACCATTTTATCATTTTATTTGTTACTTGTAATTAGCAATAGTTTCCGTCAATTCCGTTATTACGTATGTCTTTTACGTGCCGATTTTATTGTCTTCATTTTCTTAATAATCGGTGAGAACAAATGAGCTTTATTATTTGAAACTGAACATTAAATTGTTAAAATTATATTATAAATGGTTAAGCTACAATATATTTTTGCAAGTAGGTTATGCGTTCCGTTTAGTCATTTTATGTTCAGTGCCGCGGAACTTTACCCCTGATTTTGCCGTATTGCGTTTCTTTATCGCCGATGGGGAAAGGTCTACGGAATGTATTTTCTATATTTGCACTTATGATTATCATTCTTCTCCGTCAAAAAACTTTAAATTTTCAAAATCGAGTTACATATGATACAACTACAAATTATTTTGTAAAAATGGTGTCCGTTTTGCAAAGGTATTTCACGCTATGCACCGATAAATTTGATGCAGATATAGGCAGACATGATCTTTCAACAGTATTGAAGAAATATTAAGTTTTCACAATATTGAACAGAAAATTTAGGTCAAATTATCGTATCGAATTTTCAACAGACTAGAGACATGACATCTTAACATACCTTCATACTCAAGTGTGATTTTTATTTGATAATGAATTGCCTGAAAACTTAAAACAAAAGTTTTCAGAAAATGACTTCACAGAGGATTACCCCCTGTTTACATTGAAAATTTCTCTGCTAGTCATACCGAAATAAGAAATTTAAATTTTATTCTCTTTATAATTAATTCAAATATTTATAATCTTAAAACTTCGAGCCAGAAGTTAATAAAAAAGCTACTTATTTGTACAGCTGACGTTAACAGATTTTGTTGAAAAAACAAATCAGACAGGTGTGTCCGACCGAGGCCGAGTTGTTTATGTTTACTGAATTCAAATCACTTGAACTGAACTGCTATGAATTCGAAAACCACCAAGGACTTTTTATTCTTCCTTGTGGAAAACCTATCAAGCTTGTTTCAAAATGTCGATGGTGTTGCAGGTACGACATTTTGCCTGAAATAATGCACCTGAGGTCCTCACCCCTAGTAAAGCTAATGTGTAGAGTGAACGTTTGAAAAGAAACCACAAAAAAGCAGTCATTGCCCAGAACATGCAGAACCACAGTTAACTTAGAGCGTAGCTAGCCAAAATGAATTCAAGTAAATAGATTTCTACATTGTTTTTGCGAAAAAAATTAGGGATAATACAGGAAAATATAAGAAATTATTTCAGATATTATGATCAACAAGGTAACATGTTCATGTTTAGTAAACTTTCAAATTAAATGGTATAATGGACATGACACATTGTATTCTAAATAATCAAAAGCAACAGAACATTGCTATACACCGCAAATGATCTGGGTTTTTTATCTAGCGCAAGTGATTATTCCATAAAATAGAAATGTATTGCCAAAATTATCCCTGTTGAAAAGACTGCCAAAAATACAACTGCGTCGTATCATATTTTATTTTCAACTGCGTCGTATCATTTCGTAAAAATCATTATTTTCTTGGAAAATAAACATTTCTTTTTAATGAAATTTTAGTAAATGATGCAAAATTATATTTCGAAGTTTATGGTTAACTCTGAAACAAATATATAATTGATTTGAAGGAAAAAACGATAGATAAAGCAATATGAACTGCGTCGTATCCACACATTTTCATAAAAATTATGCCCCGCTTCGAGTTGCAAGTTCGCTATAACTTTTGTTTTACAAAACAGTTGTGCAAGCAACATATACCAAACGAAGCGGAAAATAGTGTAGCGTGTTAATACATATATCTTGTTTTCAGTCATTTCCAACAATAAAAGTTATAAACAAAAACATACGTTTTTCGTTCCAAGATGGCGGCGTTTGTTTACATTTTGTAGGATACGACGCAGTTTTGATTCCCAGCCCTGTTTATAAGCTATGTAAACAACTATTCTCGGGTCCGGTCGCTTCAGGTCTCCGGTCTCTCCCGGTCTATTTTGACCGGGATTTACTGGAGACAAGCGAATAGTATCATATTTACTGGCCCGGTCAGTGCTGGTCTTCTAATAATTATTTGTAAAAATGGGTCGATCTTTCTAAATGAAAAAGGGTGTTGATATAAAATATGTTATTTTTCGTATATAATGTATTTTGTTTCCAATTAATTGTTTTAATAATACGTTTTTTGTTGTTGTTTTTATTTATTTAATTTAATCAAAGATATAAATGTTCAAAAGCATATTAATTAAAACTTACATGATATAAAATTGTATTCTATAATAATGGTACTGCATCACCTTACCTTTTTCAATTATTATGATGTTTGTCTTTTTTTACGTAAATACATAATTTGAAATGTGTAACCGTGTATGATTTTAATAATTCATACAATCTAATTTGTAACTTAGAGTAATTCCTCAGAATCTTTAATAAACACGAATAACAAATTTAATAAAATGTTTCAAAGTTGATTGTGTCATAAAAATACCATAAAAATGTACCTTTTATTCAATTATTGTAATAAGTTTTGTTTTAATCTCATATAAATAAAATGAAACATGCTTCGTTTTTTTAGAATTCTATGTTTATGAATAATATTAATAATAATAATAATAGTAATAGATAAATTTGAGAGTTGATCTGTGATAATTAATTATTGTAAGACAAACATTTATTTTTGAAAAAAAACTTATCTATTTGTTACGATATCAAATAAAATATCTTCTCCAAAACCGGGAGAGACCGGACAATAAACTTGTGATACTACTCGCCGGTCTCTTGTAAAGCCCGGTCAAAATAGACCGGGAGAGACCGGGAATTACCGATAGGAGACCGGCGAATAGTCGGCCTCATATACTTTGATCTAGTTAAACCAGTGCTCTCCCTTACTTAATCCATAGTGATATGACGTCACGATGTAAATAAACCATGCGGTCAACCTCGGATATCTATGTGAGGAGATAAGGACGAATGTACATGTCCAATTAACGAATGTCAACAATCAGTTGTATGTGATAAAGAATAAACTAACAATGGCGTGGAATTTTCAGTCACATGGGGCACCATGTCACCAACAACAGGTGCAGCATTATCAACAAAATCACCCACAATACACCGGACAGGGACAAAGTCAACACTACGGAAATTACGGAAATTTCTATCAACAAAATGTGTTTCAAACTAATGCGTGGCAGGTACGTAATAACTTGTACATGGCAATCAGAGTGATTCACACCACTTTATTCTTTATCAGATAAACTATTCAATATTGCTATTTATATATAATTCATGTGTAAAATATAATCCGTCTGTTAAACAGTTAAATTGTAGATTTTTTTATACAGCTTCATGTATGGTGTATATACGACATGTCAGTAGTTGTGGACCTGTACGATCGATGCGTGACTTGTGTAGGCCTAGTTAAACATCTAGGCTGATTTTATTTTTATGGCTTATAAGACTAAAATTGATCGTATTAAAATTGATCGTATTTTGCAATAAAATGTAACAGAAACGAAAAATTGCTGATATGCAAATAAACAACCCTACTTTAGATAGAATAAAACCGACGAATTTTAAGCAAATAAATACAAAAACAATCGAATTAAAATAAGGATCATTTTTAAGATCAAAAACAATATTTGGATCAACTGTAAAATACCCATTGATTGATGCCAACAATAATAATCAAATTTCTTTTAAAAAATCATAAACTAAACTTGGTATTTCAAGTGCAATTTTATCAAGTTAATATTAGATATTTAATCTATGAGGATGAACAATTGAGCGTGTTTGAGTTTTTAAATTTGACCTTGCTGATCCTTTTATCTTGGTGAATACGGGACCCGGAACGCATCTAACAAATCAGTTTGTTACATGTTTGGTGGGTTCACAAATAAGATTCAAACTTAAGTCGACAGAGTGAAATGTTTAAATGTTTGAGCATTCCAAATAAAAATTGCAAAGCTATATTTTAATATTTGACTTGACTAAATGCTTGATAATTGATTTTTATTGTAAATGTATCGTTTTAATATTGATCGTTGATCGTTTTGATATGGATGACCAGTTCAGCTAGGTAGCAAGACTAAATATTTTATTAATTTATTTCTTCAAATGCTATAAAGAGAGCTTAGCGTTGTTAAATATCTACATTACTTTATATTACATTCATGGAATGCAAGGAATTATTAAACTGTAAACAAAAACAAATGATCTTTTCTGTTATAGGTATATGAGTATTAAGTTTCTTCTTTTATCAATAAATGTTTTGCAATTTGAACTTCATCGTATAACACACGTGTATATTCTAATACACGCGGCTTTTTTATATTACATTTACATATTTATCAATGGCATATTGATATCAAAGTTCAACAAAATCCTACTCCTCTATGCAACTTAATAGTATTTACTTTTCAGTGAATGCAATACTTGTATAAGTATTATAATATTTGCAAGATAAGGGTATAAGTACATAATCAATTTGTACCATATTAAATACATGTATGTTTGATTTATTAAACAGTTATTTTAATCTTATAAGAGATATAAGGGTATAAGTGTTTTTAAAAAAGGTTTACTCGTTATAAATTACTTTATCTATGAACAAGTACTTTTAACTTTGTATGAGATTTTTTAAAACATTTATCCTAGCCAATTTTCGTCTCATATATAAGATATATGTCTTATATAACATAGTAGGGAAATGGAAATATTTCATATACGTAAAAATGCCGCTGATATAATATATACAGCTTTATAAATTTATTTCTTCAAAGAAATTTGGTAAAGAGTTTTAAATGAAGTATACTCGTCACCCAAATAACTCATTCCGGTGTCAAGAATATAAACAAATCAAACACACAGACACAGGAATTCTGGGATTCATGACTTGTTTTTTTTTTCCAGGCTTATCAAATGAGTGAATGTTTTTTTCCCAGGCTTATCAAATGAGTGAATGTTTTTCCCCCCCAGGCTTATCAAATGAGTGAATGTTTTTTTTTTCAGGCTTATCAAATGAGTGAATGTTTTTTTTTCCAGGCTTATCAAATGAGTGAATGTTTTTTTTCCAGGCTTACCAAATGAGTGAAGAGCAGGAGTTAGCCAACATCTTTGCACATTATGTCAACAAAAGTCAAGCTAATACGGTAAGATAATGTAAATATTTCACTTGTCTTCCTTTCTTAGAAACCGCATTGTTTAAAACTCATATAACTCGTCGTATATATTATAACTTTGTTTATGCACACATACTATATAATGTCAACAAAAGTCGAGCTTTATATCGTAAGTACATGTAAATTGACTAGTACCAGTGTACAAGAAATCTCTTACAATTTCTCTACTTTTCTAATAATCCGTACACCCATGGTTATTAAAGGGACTCAACTGAGGTTTTATGACTGATAATACTTTTTCGAGATTAATGTTCCATTTGATGTAGGTCTATGGTAATAACTTGTGTGCAAAATTTAGATCATTTGCTCACAATAAGTATTGTTACTTTGAAAAATGACCAAAATAGAAAAGCGTTGTAACGCCTCTCGCTCAAATTGTCTAAAGTAGCACAAAAATTACTTCTAAATATCTAAATATATATTTTAATTATCTATTGCATATCTGTCTTTTTAAAATACACTGATCTATGTAAATAATTCAAATGTTAGATTTTAGGCTTTGGACCTCAGTGAAGCCCCTTTAAATAAGAGGCGTTTGTGAACAAACAACCAATTCCCTTTTTTTAAAATTGATTTTTGAAAATTTTTTTTTTTTATGCAAATGCGATATCTTTTTGGGGGTGTTCTTTTCACAAATAAAAAAACAAAAAATTTTTGTAAACTATTAGATTCGACACACTTTGGTCTTAATTTATCAATTTTTCAGGCATAAAAAAAAAAAATGGGACTCATCGTTTATTTTAAAAGGTAAAAAGTGTTTATTTTTTTGGGAAAAAATTTGGAGGTTTAAATTATTTAAAGATCTAAATAAAAATTTAAAAAAATTTTTTTTAAAAAATTAGTACCCCACCAGAGGGGGAAAAAGGATAAAAAATAAGTTTTTATTTAAAAATTTTTTTTTTAAATTTAAAATGTGAAAATAAAAATTTAAATTTTGTTTTTAAAAAAAAAACCTTTTTTTAAATTTTGTTTTAAGGTAAGTTGAAATTGGGAAATTTTAATAAAACCCCCTCAAAAAAAAATTTTGGAATTAAAGGAAAAAAAAACAAAAATTTTAAAAAATTAAATAAAAGGGAAAATTTAAAAACCCCAAAAAAAATTTTGGGGAAAAGGGCCCCCTTTAAACTAGGTTTTTTTAAAAGGAAAAATAAAGGAATTTCAAAATTTTATTAAAAAAAGGACTTTTTTTGGAAGTAAAGGAAAATTTAAAAAAAAGTTTAAAAAGGTTATTTTTAAAGATGAATTTCAAAATTATAAACATTAAAAATGTTTTTAAGTGTAGAACCTTTAAACCCATTTAAAAAAAGGAATTTTTTTTTAAGGGTTTTCGGCAAAAATAAACCCCAAAAATAATTTGTTTAAAAATTAAAAGTTTAAACCAAATTTAATAAAAACCTATTATAAAAAGTTTTAAATTACTTTTTTAATTCCCTTAAAAAAAAATTTATGGAAAAAAAAACTCCTTAAAAGGGAAAAAAATTAAGGGGTTTTTTAAAAAAAAATTTATTTGTTTTTTTTTTCCCATTTTGAAAAAACTGAAATTTTTTAAATTTTTATTTTTAATGTTCATTTAAAAAAAAAATTTTCTCGGAAAAAGATAAAAAATGTATTAAATGTTAAAAAAAAAAAGTTGGGGTGATAAATAAAATTTAAGTTTACAGAAAATACCAGATCAGAAATCGCAACTGCCCAATGATCGATCTTTCACTTGTCTATGCTTATATGCAACCAGTAGCACTATACATTTGTATTTGATTTCAACAGTTTGTATGTTTTCTTTTAATTCACAGTCACATGGAGTCGAGAACTGTGCAGTGTGTTGATGGCAATGTTGGATGTATCCTTACATAATATTTTTTTTTAAGATTCTCTATATAGTGTGTTGCCTTGATATCTTTTGTGTTACCAAAAGATATCGGGCGTCCATAGCCAAGTGGTTAAGGTTGTTGACATCTCACCTCTGTAGTTTAGAAATCCTCTAGGGACTTTGGATTCTTTCATGTGAGAAAGCTATCCAGCTAGCTTACTGAATATCGGCGGTCCTATTAAAGTGCCCGTTCATGTCTGGAATAAAACACAGAGGGGCTACTGATGTATTCCTCCACCATTAAAACAGAAAAGTCGTCATATGACATATACAGTGTTGGTGCAACCTAAATTCAAACCAAAAATAAGTTATAGTTAATAATACCGTACCAATATAGTCTACATGTATATAAATATGACCATGACAGGGTCCAACAATTCCAGTTGCTCTATACCTGAGTTTTGATAATGGAAAGTACCACATTGTTGTATATATTAATCTAAAGTACCTTTAGATGTTCCATAAAAATAATATGAAATTATGACCAAATATCGCTGGTTCATGTGTAAAAAAAGACATATATGTGCTTATATACATAGAGGATATTCAAGTTTTTAATACGATTTTTTTTCATCGAGTGGTATAAAAATTCAAGTGGTATAAAAATAAATAGTTCATGAGTGACGGTAGCCACGAGTGAAATATGATCATTTTTACACCACAAGATGAAATAAATCCTTTATTTATAGAAAAAAACTTGAATTTTCTGTTTGTTAAACATGTATACATTTTTCCATTTTTGACATTTCACTTTGAAAGACTTCACCTAAAATTTTGTGTATTGGCCGAATTTAGAAGAAAGTAGTCAGTGAAAATATGGAAAATATATGTTTCAATGCAATGAAAAATATCTTTTTACAGTGAAAATACGGAAAATGATAATACCCATTTTATTTCATCATGTTTCATTTATAAGAATATAATAGATATATTTTTTGATATTATACAAAAAACCCCTTAACCAAAGATAAGCGTAACCCCGACGGATTTATGCAGTGGGCGGAGTTTATGGAGCTACAGAAATGCTTGCTTGCCTGGCACAACATGTTCAGACGGCATGACACCGACGGGTCGGGTTATATAGAGTCACACGAGCTTGGTAATGTTATACAACAATTCGGTATGTATTTTTATCTCCTTTCGATTTGTTGTTGTTATCTCACAGATCATTGCAAAATAAAGATTAGGAAAAAAAGGTGTGTGTGTGTGTGGTGGGGGGGGGGGTGACCCTGCTAAATATTCTAAATGAACTTGTCCATCTTACAATCGGGACAAAACCATTCATCATTTCAGGGTAAATTTCAAATGTTACAGTCTAAATGGCAGATCGTCATGTTTTTGTGCTATTCTCAGGACTCGAACGAGTGAAAAGCGTTGTAACGTTTTTCAATTTTGGCTCATGTTTCACAATCAGAATAATAATTCTAGGGAAAAAACGGAGTGACCGAATGAACACGTCAAGTTTATGGTTTAGACCTACATTAAATGTAACATAAAATCATTTCCATAAATTATGTCAAACTTCAGTGGAGTCCCTTAAACTTGATAAATTTTTGCAACTTTTAATATCAAAATAATAAAAAACTAGCCACCAGCTGTATGGAACTTCGTTAAACTTTACGGATATACTGGTGGGAAAAAACGCAGCGGAGCTCTTTGAAGGATCCAACATTATTCTTTTCTACTAAGATTAAATTGATAATAGCTATCGCAAGAAGGCATAAAAAATACAAGAAGACAAAGAAAGCGCAAGAAAACACAGAAAGTGCAAGAAAACACAGAAAGCGAATGAAAAGCACATAAAGAGGACATCTCAATGAAGCTTTCAATGAATGTATTCACTGACAAACTGTGTCGCTAGCAACTTTTCAATAGTTTTTCTATACTATTAGTTTATTTTTTATGTCGTCCTTGATAAAATGTCCTTACCATTACACAAAACTTTACTTCCATGTTTCAGGTTACCGTATCAACCCTGATGTCATGACAACGTTACTCAAACGTTACTCGAGAGCCCACGTTGTCAATGGTCAAGTCCGAACGTTAATTGCTTTTGATGATTTTGTGTCGCTTTGCGTGCGATTACGTGCATATACAGGTAAGCAAGTTCTACGGAATCATTTCAATTTGGTATAAAAAGAAATATTATTGTTTACATGACGTGCGTGGTATGTAGTGGTATGTAACCATTACATAGACCCTTTTCTTGACATTACACAAGTTTATTTCTGACTTTATGGTATCACAAGATCTACTATTTATAGATAAGTTAAGTGTGTTATTTCAGTTCTCAGATTGCTAATATCCATTTTTACCCCGAGAGACATATTTTAGTAGTATACCGAACCAACGTAATATTACTCCAGGGAGACAACTAGATCATTACGTTTTCTTTAGTGTATCATAGATTACTCGCCCCTGGGGAATATTGAACATTTTATATTGGAAAATTTTGATAATTGCTACAGAGTATGTTTGTAGCTATAAAAAAACATGTTTTGACTTCGCACAAAGAAGGTATGTGGTGTTTAAACTTTAAACAAGACAGATGGTCACAATATGAATATATATAAGTGTCATTAAAATTGGCCGTTTTTTTTAAGAAGGACCAAATTTACTTGTCCTGTAATAGGGAACGCAGCTTCCCATGCATAGTTTATTCATTCTTTTATTCAAATTAGACATATTCAGTAAGAATTTTTATAGATTTCAGTAAATTTCTGTGCTTAAAATATGAAATAAAGCATGAGCATAGTAGACCTATATCTTTATTGAGAATCGTCCTCAACAGCAGCTGGCACGATTTTCCATAGATTTATTTACTGTAAAATATTTCCAAAGAATCAAAAATAAAACAAACTATTTTAGTCAGTTTTTCCTAAGTGTTATTCATTATAATTTGACAATTTCTGTGGTTTTTTATGCAGATGCTTTCCGGAAACGAGACCGTGTGTGCCACGGCGGACAAGAAACTGGCACGTGCACCTACCAATATGACGATGTAAGTGACGTAATACTTAATTCATACGGGCATCATTTCTAAGGTCCCAAAATCTTGTTACATTTTGACTTTAAGGATAAATAAAGCTAATATATGCGGCATTTATTTCATGCTTTATGTGTTGATCATAAACAACCATGGCAAATCCTTATGCAAATTGATGCTTGGGTAAATGTAAATTCACTATATTCTGAATCTCAAAATGTTTTTATTTGGCGAATGAAATAAGGAACCAGTGAAATTTCTTTGAATTTCAAATTCGAAAAGGTTTGCATGTTGAAACTCATTAAATCACATGCATTATTCTAAGTGTTTTGCAGTAATTCAATTATGGTAATGGCGGACTAGGTGCAGTGTTTCATGATAAAATAAGAATACTTCTTCATTCAACTGTTGGAAACTCTCTTTGTAACAAAACAGTAATCGTCGAATTGAAAGTAGATGTCGTTTCTTATTCCTTTGAATGGGTTTGGTTACGAAAAAAAAAGTGTGTGTGTTTTGTTTTGTTTTTTTTTTTTTTTGGGGGGGGGGGGGGGGGGGGGGTGTCGAGGAAGGAATTTTCGCTGCGACCAAATTTAACAGAATTATGGCCCTTTGTTGATTTTTTCATTATATACTATGTAGAAATTTTGTGAACGCAACTCCTCTTAAACCGGATGGCAGATTTTGCTTAAACTTCCAGGGATGAACAACCTTAATGTGTAGATGGTAGAAAAGGAAGGAATGTTTGTTGCCACCAAATTTAACAGAATTATGGCCCTTTGTTGATTTTTTCACTATATACCATATAGAAATTTTGTGAACGCAACTCCTCTTAAACCGGATGGCAGATTTTGCTTAAACTTCCAGGGATGAACAACCTTAATGTGTAGATGGTAGTAAAGGAAGGAATTTTTTCTGCGACCAAATTTAACAGAATTATGGCCCTTTGTTGATTTTTTCACTATATACCATATAGAAATTTTGTGAAGGCAACTCCTCTTAAACAAGATGGCAGATTTTGCTTAAACTTCCAGTGATGAACAACCTTAATGTGTAGATGGAAGTAATGGAAGGAATTTTTGCTGCGACCAAATTTAACAGAATTATGGCCCTTTGTTGATTTTTTCACTATATACCATATATATGTTGTCAGTGGGGGCATCCGTGTCCTTTGGACACAGTTCTAGTTATTTTAGTTTTTCAATAACTGTCGGCTACTTTCACCCAGCTTAGTGCTAAAGTTTCAGGGATAATTGCCTGATTCCAAAAATGACTTGTTTCTGTTTTATGGTCAATTGTCCAAAACTGTACTGAAACTTATATTTAATGTGCATGATAACTTGCAGCAAGTGTTTCAAAAAAGAGGTATAAGAGTACTAGAGTTCATTTAGGTAAATGTTGACAACAAATTTAGAATTTCAGACATTTTTTAACCTAGGAATGTCACCATAAATATACTGCAAACATAAAAATGATATAACATACCGGAGCCATTTCTTCCGGTTAACCTCTTAAGTTTTTGTTAAATTGTAATAAATTTTATCTTTTTTATTACCTGTCTTTTTTGCGACAGACTGTTTGTCTATCAGGTTTGAATTTATGTCTCAGAAACTGTTTTTTCTGTCATTTAAATTAACGGAAATACAAATAGCAGCTATAACAGATATCTTAAGTCACGTGCTCTTTAAAGTGCTTTCTAATTAGGTCCCTTGATACTTTAGAACGCAGCTGCTCGTCGCATTCTATTGTTATATATAGATTTTAGCTTTATGTACAATCCTTATTTTATTTTAATACCTTCCTAATTATGAGACAACTTTAAAATTGAAATAAATTTGATTCTGATTAGCAAATACCATGTAGAACTTAAAAAAATAGCACAAAGCAACTGGCAGCATTTCTTCGATTTCCTTTCTAATATAAAATTTACGTAGACTATTACGTCATCATGCATGGCGTCAATGACGTTATTTTTTAATTAGGCACTCCCGTTTACTGGTGATATTTTTTTCTTTTGCTTTAAATGAGAGATCGTGTTTTTATCAATAAATTTAGTGTTTTTCTTTCTTTTTTTCTTTACAAATTCATCCTTTCAAAGCAGAATTCCTCTAGATGTTTGCTAGATTAAACTTTTAACAATATTTAAGCGTTTGCAGTTTTTTTTGTCAGTCCGAGTAACGTAATTCAAAGAATGAATAAATGAATGAATGAATGAAGAAAGAAAAGAGAGAGAGAAAGAAAGAAAGAAAGAAAAAGAAAAATGAATGAATGAATGAAAAAAAGAAAGAAATAAAGACAGAAAGAAAGGAAGAAAAATAGAGAAAGAAAGAAAGAAAGGAACGAAAATAATATAAAAACAAGGATGGTGTTTATGTTGTGTAACTTATTGATTTCAAAGTTTAGACCGTTATGGATCCGAAAATTGGTATGTGCCATGACTATATACTCTTTTATTGTGAAAAAAAGCTATCAGATAGGCGGCAGCTTTTCCCAGGCCCCCGCCCGTGCCTGAAAAGCATTTTTGTTTGTTTCACATATTTTATGAATATACGAGTATTTAAAAAGATATATATGTACATGTTTATTATTTTGTTGATATTCTAATTTTTCAGTTTCTCCGGTGTGTAATGTGCCTGTAAGTACTGGGTACTTGATGGAAGGATAAATGTGACCGACAACCAGGATGAAGTACCACATGACATTTAATATAGACTTCTGCGTTGATTATGTGTCATCCAGTGCATAAAAGACAATTTCATTTGAATAACATCTTGTTATCTTATTTTATTACCTCATTTTTTCATTTTAGATGAGAACAACACACTGACGTTAATTAGAGTTCATAGAAATGCTGTCTAAAGTTAGTGTATTTATTGTAGCATATAATTTTGAGAATATTTTGAAGAACTTAAGTTACTTTGTAAAGTATTTATCGTTAAATAAAGGTATTTAAACCAGGATAGATAAGATATATTTACAACTTGTGTTCATTGGTGTACGGATATATCACGTGACCGAATGGCTGTTGTCATTTAAAATGTATGTTATTGTATTTGATAGTTACTTACGTCATGTGACAGTCTATGTTTAAAAAATAAAATGTGTAAAATTAATGTTTTGTTATGAATTAAGACTATACTGAGGTTAAAGTTGAGATATAAATCTACCTGTTGGGGTGACTGGTGAAGTTTGCCGAGTGTCAATTTCTTTGTCCTTCAACTGGCACTACACCAGTGTTGATTCGAAAGTATCCAGTTGCTTATGTCAAGTCTGTGGTTCTACCCGCTCTTGTCAAAACAATGTCCGTAATGCCATCAGAAGTTTATTCTCCAGTATTGAAATTAGAAAGTAGCCGTATGATCTTCACAGTGGCGGTGTGACTTGACATTCAGACAAAACATAAATGAGCCGCATCACGACAAAACCAACGCAGTCTGATCAGGATCCATGCATGCTGTTCGCTATCAGTTTCTCTACTTGTAATAGAGTTGGTAAGCGAACAGCATGGATCCTGATCAGACTGCGCGGATGCGCAGGCTGGTCTGGATCCATGCTGGTTGCAAACGCACTATGTTGGTTTTGTCGTGACACAGCTCAAATATATATATAAAAAATACCGCGAGAATTATACATACATCATGATTAATCGACAGAAAATACTACATGTAAAATGAAACTTTATATTAAGCACACTATTTTCACAAACCTTTTACACATAGTCCCAATTTATATTCACTCGCCTTATTTCTTATTGGTATTTGGCTGGCCATGTAATGGGAATTAGATTTTTTATGGAATGTGTTCTCTACTAAGTGACATTTTAAAGGGGCTCCACCGAGGTTAAAAGCCTACTTCTTTTACTTGGGGACCATACGCCGCTTTTTATGGAATGACACTACTGTGTCACATTGAAGGTTCCATGATAACCGCCGTATGAACACATCTGCGGATGTATCTTAATTAAAAATTTCACTATTTTTGTGTTTAAATGTTGAATTCTGCTTAAGCCGGTGCTAGGGCCCGTGGACAGTAACTTGCAATTTCCAGTACCGTCCATGAACTGGCTCAATCAAACCGAGCCTGCAACATATTACAATTGTGCCGTGTTTGGCTTTCTTTAGGAATTTCGTTTTTCTCTATTTGAAATTTTTACATAATTGTACATGTATAAGTTTAAAACACTTAAAATCGAGAAACCAACAAAGAAAAAATTGAAAATACATGTATACTCATTATTAAATTGAATATCGAGTTTTTGTGCAATTCTTAGCACGATTTGAGTGAAAAGTGTTGCAACGCTTTTCATTTTTTGGTTCTTTTGCACAGTTAAAATGATAAGTCTGGACAATAAGGGTAAAGGAATGATCAGAAAATTTGCAAACAAGTTATTGGTCCAATCCTACATCAAATAATACACAAATCTTGGAAATATGTTTCCAGTCTCATCATGGCAAAACTTCTCAATGGAGTGAGTCCCTTTAACACAACGTATAGGTTTGTGTACAAAAAAGCTTTCATTAAAATGCTTTTATGTACAAGCTAAACAGATTACAGTCAGGTGACTTAAGAAATAACGGGGATTCATGATTTCCTGCCATTATCTCAAGTCTAGACCGGAAGTACTGAAATATCTAATGTAAGTACTTTGTAACTAAGACCATTATCTTTATATCAGCTCTTATCAATAAAAGTGTTGACTAAAAATACTTGTATACTATATCTACCTTTTTCTCGAGATTAGACAGAAAATTGCTTTTACTAGATTAAAAAACAAACAAACAAAAACAACTTAATTTTGTATTTTGAAGCATCTGTGTGAAAAGCACCGAATCTGTCACAAACGAACATCCTGTGTCGAAACGTAATTTTTTTTTTATATAAATGATGTCAAAAAGGATATTTCCTGGTGGAGCTTCATATTAATGAATACAAGTGAAAAACATATTAGAATGTTCAATAATTTTATTTATTTATAAAATTCTGAAATGTAAAACCATAAATAATACATATTTATATACACAATGTTCATAAATTAACAACAATGATTATAATGTATATTATTTAATCCATCAAACTTTTGTCTTCCTACACGCTAAGATAGTAGTGTAAACTATGGTGTTCCATTTGGGCCATCGTACAATCGTATCATAGAAACACATATCCGTGTGGTGAAAGAACGATGATCCCAACGGACCACCGTAACAGCGACGTCCTCATTAACTTAAAAGCAGTTTAGAAATGGTGTTTTAGATCCTAAGTAATAAATTTTGTAAATTAAATAAAATTAAATCACCAATTAATTAATCTTTTATCCCGCCAAAGAAGGATTACAGTTATCTACACTATTTCTTTCTATTTACATTGCCAAAAATACGCTCAATAAATTGAAGTGGATAACTAGATAACCATTCTAGTTTTGATCCGTGCACGTTATCATACTTCAATCTGTATATCTAAGGTAAAGGTAAATATTTTTGTGAACTTTTCTATAATCATTTACCGCAATTTACTACGGTAACATCACGGGCGCCTTTACAATTTATTATACAATGTTAAATCATCTCTGTATAGATTTATAAAAACATAGAACACTGTGCAATGCTACTATAAAATCCGTGAACGCTATCATATATAACAATTACTGAACAGCATTACTTGCTACTTCATTTGCAATAAATAACACACAGAAAAGACAAAATTTATATTTTACATTGACTTTGTAGGATGTGTAAAATTTCTTTATTCATTTGAGTACGTTAGCATACTGTTATATCATGTTATCATATCTTGAAAATCCGTTTGTGTTATCATTATTAAGCAACATTTGGTCGAAACTCGAAGACAGATTCACTTTTTATGTGGCCTAAATTTTAGCGCCAAAATATGCACCTCTTAATTACGCCACTTATCTTCTGTAGGTTTATCTTCTATTTACAATGCCACATTTGGTGAAATCATCACTGACTCTATGTATATAAATCATAAGATAATATCTTTGTTACCAAATTCACGTTTAAACACGTGTGTCTATCACAGATAAGAAAAATATAAACCGGAACTGACGTAACTGTGTAATCGACATCAGTTCCGGGAAGATGAATACCTTTATTTATATGAGAGCATAACTATTCAATCTTTGGTTCGTGGCTCTTCATGTTTTATGTTTTCATTATTGTTAAACATTAATGGCGAATCTTCGTTTCTGTAATGCAGCGCGGTAGGTGGAGTTATTTCAATCATTGGATGGGCTTCATGGTCGCCTATAACAAGTCCATTTTGTTCCATATGTACTGAATTATCAGAAGACGAGCCCCCGTTAAGAGTATTTTTATCTGTTTTGTTCCGCGTTTTGCCATTTGGTATGTCTTTTTCCATTGTGGCACTTGTTGACGCAACAGAACCGCGCGCGCGTGAGACACATGACGTCATAGTTTCTCGTCCCGCCCGTCTGAATCCACTTCCACCGCGCTTTATTATGTAACGTTTCCATTTCTTCTTTATTTCTGTTTGTACCTTTAAAATAGATTCAGAACTGTCGAATTTTGTTCGCATGAACACGTTATAAATCAAAGCACTGAAAGTACTGAAGTATACATTGCTTGATAATATAATCCATTTTTGTCATCAAAGCCATGTTGATTTTAACCTACTGACCTCGGAAACAATAGGGGTCATCTTCTGACCAAGGTCAATGTCCCTAACAAGTGACTCACATGCACCAAGGCTTTTTTCTTCCAAAGTTATTTATGAGACAAGGAAGATGTAATGTTCCATCTGTGTATTGCTAGGCAAGCTGATACAATGTAGATGAGCAATAAAGAAATCATTTTTTTGAAACACCCGTTAAATGGACTTCAGACTAGAATATTGAAACAGTCATATTGAGTTTCCAGTGATGCTATCTGATAAAATACATGATCTGGCTTGAACTCTATACAAAATCAATTAATTGAATCATCCTACAAGACTTAATTACCAAATTATAGTACATCTATGTACTGTACTTTGATGCATTATTAAATATATTCCGGTGTGTTGTATTAATCTCTACACATTAATTTTCAAATGCATTACTTTATCGTTTATTAATAAAAATGAAATCTATAATCAAAACAATTCAAATGTACTGTAATATTTTCATTATTCAATAATTGTTACATATAGTCTTCATGAACAACCTTTCCAAGAAATCCATTTATATTGGATAGCAAGTTAACAAGGGGTTTTCCATAATCAGGTTGTGTTACCAACTTCTTAACTTTAGATGAACCATTGAGCTAAAACATTTTTTCTATTTTTTGGCTACTGTGACCTACTTCTGATTTTCAACCAAGGTGATCCATGTTCAAACTCGAGCAAAACCTGTCACACACATTCTTACGATGTTGTGTGACAATTGGGACAAAAGTGTGACCAGTAGAGTGTTAACAAACTAAATGACCAGCAGATTGTTAACAACTGTAATGTCAGCGTCGGATACACATGGTTGATTAACATTTAACATGACATAACTGATAAATGTAAATGGTTCGGCCGTGGGTAGCCTTATTTTTGAAATGTAAAACCCCACTTGTTGTCCTATGAACAGACAACTCTTGATGTATTTTGCAGTTTTTTTTGACAGCCCGAGTTACGTCATTCAAAGAATGAATGAATGAATGAATGAATAAAGAAAGAAAGAAAGAAAGAAAGAAAGAAAGAAAGAAAAAAAGAAAGAAAGACAGAAAGAAAGAATGAATGAATGAATGAATTAATAATGAATGAATGAATGAATGAATGAATGAATGAATGAATGAAAAAGAAAGAAAGAAAGAAAGAAAGAAAGAAAGAAAGAAAGAAAGGAAGAAAAATAGAAAAAGAAAAAAAGAAAGAAAGGAACGAAAATAATATAAAAACAAGGATGGTGTTAATGTTGTGTAACTTATTGATTTCAAAGTTTAGACCGTTATGGATCCGAAAATTGGTATGAGCCCCCGCCCTTGCCTGAAATCTGGTACACGGTTCTTCTCTTTAAAAGATCCTCCCGCAAAGCAGCATTTTTGTGTGTTTCACATATTTTATGAATATACGAGTATTTAAAAAGATATATATGTACATGTTTATTATTTTGTTG